TAATGTTAATATAGTATTAAATAACGTATAAGTTTTGAAATTTGTGAACCTTGGAATATTTTTCCTATATATAAAAAATACAACCTAAATTAAATTTGGCAAGTCCTTGTTTTTGTCTTTATACGTAACTCGTGACGAGAATTAACTGACATCAAGTCACAATCAAAGCTAATCAAGTTGCAAAAAAAGGGAGCACTAATCTCATGTGACATGGTAATAAATATTTTGAAATCAATCTTATCGAATTCATGTTGGTTCTCACAATTCTTGCCAAATACAATTTTGATCGTCTAAATACGATGACTATCATGAGTGATAATAAATAATATTAATCCTTGATTGATAAATAAACCACTTACAAGTAAAAATGCAACATAAGCACACGGACTTCAGAAAATACAATGATGCATCAACATAGATCTATTGCAACATATCTTTTCAAATTAGAGTTCAAGTTTCATTATCTCACAAAGTAAATTAACAAAAAGTAAAGTACAGTTACACTAGAATACAATGATAGATGTGGATCCAAATGAAAAATTAGCACAAAACGTTAATACCTTTCATTGTTATTATGGAAAACGTCCATACATTTTATTTTTTTAGCATTTTAACCTTATTTTCACATTTTATTGCGCAAAATGTCATTTTCATCAATTTTCTCAATTAAAAATTGTGAAATGACGAAAACACCATTTCCTTTAAATCAAACGAAAGAAAAGAACTAATCGCAACATAGTCCCAATTTTTTTGGAAAGCGCAAATGAATCCCAAATAAATTATTAAAGGAGTAATTAACACATAATGTCCCTATCTTTCACTATTAAAAGAGTAATTAGCACATAATGTTCGTATCATGCGAAAACATCCATACCTTTTATTTTTTTGACATTTTCTCCATTAATTGTAATTTGATAGCACAAACCATCATTTCTATCCATTTTCATCTAATTTCTCAATAAATAACTGTGAAATAATGAATATACCCTCATATTGAAAGAAAAAATATATTTTTTAATTTCCAATTCTTTAATAATTTATTTAGAACTCGTTTTCACTTTTTAATTTTTAAATAAATTTAACCGAGTCTCGTTTGCACTTTTCATGAAAAAATTAAATTTTTTTAATAACCGAGTATTGTTTGCACTTTTTAAAAAAATTGGGACAATAGTTGAAATTAGTTCTTTAGTTTTTTTATTTAGCCCTACCTTTTTATTTATTTTTATTTTTGCTGATTTTTCTTGGGTTCAATGGAAAAAGTGGCAGTTTTCTGCGTTTTTATTATGTAGCGTGTTTTGGGAAGAAAATGCTTTTGAGTTTTCAGTAGAATTTTTTTTTTTTTTTTCAAAAATTTATTTTCGAAAACGGGAAAGAGAATGCCTTTGCACTGTTTTGAAAAATCGAAAACCGAAAACGGGTTGAAAATGGTAAAGAGAACAGGTCATTAGTGACTGACTGTTTCCTTAAAAATTGCGGGAATAATATATCATATGTTTCATAGTAGGCCATTTTTTCTACTCCCATGTTTGATCTTTGTAAAGTCTCTGCTAGAAGAATTAATTTTGTCTTATAGCAAGAATATGCTGCTTGAATTTGGAAAAGTGTACATAAAAAGATAAAAGTAGGTGTTTTGTGGGAATTAATTTTGTCTTATAGCAAGAATATGTTGATATGAGTTTTGGGGGGTTTTAGAACGTATTAAATACGTTGTTAAATGATTTAATTAGTTAACATGATATTAATCAAATCGGTTATTTTTTAGGCTATCTGGCCTAATATATTTGGGGCACTATGTAGCAGCCTTTGCTTGCCTAATCCCAAAGCAAGCGCTGAGTAGAAAGTTTAACTTGCCCAATTGGTTGCTAGCTAAAGTCAAATTTAGCAAAAAAAAAAAAA